AGGACCTACCGTAAAAGTAAATACTGACGGCAAAAGCATATGCTATGAAGGGCTGAGGACTTTGTAATTTCGAGATCTACAAGAACTAACTACCTTTGCGTCTCTCTGGTAGATCTATATGTGAAAAGGTATGAAGAATCCATTTGCATGTGCCTTCATGGAACTCTTGGCATCAGACGACAATACTAATTACGCCACATACCTCCTTAACTTTTCCCAGCAAGATATAAAGCATGTAGAATATGTGGAAGTTCAGCCAACTTTCCGCAAAAATAATTGAGGTATGTATATGCCAGAAGTTATGTTTACTGCAAGCGAAAATTTCTCACTATGAACCTTGTATTTAGGAAAGCAAAGTGTCTTCCAGCTCCACTCTAGCTGACAGGTTAGAAGAATATGAAACGGAAAATCTTATCAATTTTTTGCGGGGAGATTCTGAAAAGTCACATAGAACTTAGTGATGGCTTTTTTACGAGACTTTAGGATGAAAAATCACCGGACATTTATTTCTCAAGTTAACCAGACAGGAATTCAGGGAATTCGGAGTGAAGATGAGACCTGCATTAGAGCTTGAGGACTACATTAAGAAGCTGTGTGAGTAATTTAGCCAAAAGGTGCTTTGCATAATGTTATAGCTGAAATCTAATTAGCGTTGTTCTTACAGTCATTGTCTTTGTTAACAGATGATCGAAAACCAAGAATAAATTTAGATTATCTCTCAGCCAAAAAAATAGTATTTTTTATTCAAGCGATATATTCGCAATTTTATGTATCAGTTGTTCCGGCAACGTTTTTTTATTTCGTAAATAAAGTATTAATATATTCCTATTTCTGGCGTGTATCGGAATAAAAAAAGAATGTAAAATACGCATTATCATATAATAAATGGTATTCGTTTATAAATGAAGTTGGAAAAATTCTAAATTATTCTACACTATACATAATTATTTGTATTTATTCTTTACTATAAAATTACTACAATGCACCTTACAAATTTTATTCTAAGAACAGCAAGAAATAACAAGAAAGAAATTTACAACTTGAATATATTCCACAAATTTATTTTTGTTTGATAGGTGTACGGTTTAAATTTAGCTTTGGTTCATTTTCAGTTGCCGTTCGGCGTCCTTTTGTGTTGTTTGAAAGTAAGTTTCTTACCGCCGTTTCAGTTTGTAGCAATTTAATCTATATTAATAATAAACATGAGATAAATCTTATTTGGCTGGCCACTAGATAAAAAACAATAGCCTTACCTCAAGTGTTTTAATGACACAATAAGCATCTTCGATCATATTACAATCATTTTTGTCCGAAGGTATAATACACTGGTCGAGTAATCCGAACCTGTATACACCATCTCCAATCCAGTCTAAAGCGTAGAAGCTAAGTTCCATTCCTACATTGTTCAACACATATGAATTCAATTTAATTAAAATTCATGTCAAATAAAGTATCTGTTTTAGGACTTACCGACTTGAAGCCAGCCATAGACGATTATGTCCATGCGTTGCTTGTCCGAGGTGTGTTTGTACTTCTTTAGTAAATTATTGAGACTATCCCGCATTGTGACCATTAGCTTTACTTTATCAAGGAATCGTTTCTTGCGATGAGCTGAAGGTCCAAATGGACCTAATCCTCCCGAAACTTCCCCGTATACAACTTCAAACTTATTTAGTGTCTTGACCAGAACACACTTCATGTCAACTTTTCTCCCAATACGGGCCCTTTGGAATGGGTTTTGCTTTTCATTTCGAGCATCGTTCGTCGCCAGAGCTTGTGTCTCTCCCCTACATATGAAAGAGTTGTTCATTATTAAATATTTTTTAATGGTTCCACCAAAAAATCAATGTAAATAAAGATTACCAAACATCTTTTATGTGATCGGACGTAAAAATGCCTCGAAATAAAGGAAACGATGAGCTCATTTTGAGTTCTTCTTCCGTCAATGTTCCCTGGAAGGAACACATATTATTCTTTATAAATTGTATATTGGCATCTAACTTTTCAAATTTTTTATCATAATTTCTTTGACAGTTATTATCGAAGTATTGCTGAAGACTTTCTTCAGCAGGTGTATCAATCCATCCAATACAATTCGAGAATTCTTGATTCAACTCCTTCATGTCGATTTCTGTAAAATATTTACATCCGTGCAGGCTTTCGTTCGTCAAATCGAGAATACCCCAATACGCAGGTCTATATGATAACAAGAGAATAAAATGTACAGTATTAATAATTAAATCATATAAAAATCATAACCTAAGAACAATCATGCTAAACTTACGTCGAGACCTTACGGCACTTGGGGATTTTGGCCTGATAGCTGTGGAAAGCTTCAGAAACGTCAATATCAGAAGAAAGTTTATGCTTTAACGGATCCTATTGTAAGATGAGACTGTAAGCCCATTAAATAATGTGTCCATAAATGCAACATTAAAGGTTACCTTAGAGGAAATACCGCTTGCCAATGGCAACTTAATTTCTTCTTTGAGCGTTTTTTCATCTATATTGTCCATTAATATTTCTTCATTAGATTCTTCGAATAAAATTCCAAGGCTTTCTGCGAATTCATCATCTAAATATTCCTCATTTTTCCTCTTTCCATTTTTTTCGCGCATTTTTGCACTTTCCAAAGCAAAGACTTCCTCTTCCTTTTGCACTTGAACCGCAGTCTATTGTGTGGAAATGAAGTGTATAAATTTGCTATCCGTCCCAGTTCATTAATTAGTGTAGTGGCATTAACAAACCTTATACATAGATCCACCATATTTTCCATTATATACTCTTTCATATGGTTCCTGGAGTTCTTTCATAATTGCTTCAATCTCGGGAAGCTAATTTATAAAATCTTGTAAGCAAGATAATAGTAACAAATATCTCATCTTCGACGCTCACCTCTTTATTATCAAGATTTCTCCTAGCACAAGTGCGAATGTATATGGATACTCCTCTACGCGAATTTACAAAATCTAACGAGTTATAAAAGTTGTCTAAACACGTTTCCCATTGCGGTAATTCCTTCTCATTCTTACAGATCCAATCAATATAATGTCTTAAGCTCCAAAAACCTGCGTCGACAGAGTAGAAGTAAGAACATATAAAATTAGAGTATTGCTTTAAGTTTATTTCGTCAAGTTCATCGATAAACGGATTCTGCATTCTGAAAAGTTCGTAATAAATGGAAGTTTATAAATCTTAAGATACAGTACAATCTGAATAGTGAATATCTGATTATCTACAAAATTTTTCACCGTCCACACGCGTGACGTAGTTATCAATTATACCGTTATACGAGTATGGGGCAGTGATGTGCATTTTGTGCTTCAAAATTTGGAAGCTTTCATCCAATGAATTTATTAGAGAATCATGCTCTTGGGGTAGTTCATATTAAATCTCCAAGACTTTTCAGTAATAGGCGCAGAAAATGACAGAGTTCTTTGTGACGGCCATTTGGCGACAAGTCTCTGGGAAGGTGAACTTTGCTCAACTCACTCATGTCGGCCATTTGGCGATGAGCTAATTTGTCATCAAAGATATTTATTTGCTTGATGAAAAGGCCAGTTTGTTATGACAGACCATTAGGCGATGGCAAACTGAGTTAACCATCTTCCAAGCGATTCCATGACGGCCATTCGGCGATGGACGCTTGGCTTTTCTGTGGAGAAAATGACAGAGTCCTTTGTGACGGCCATTTGGCGACAATTCTCTGGGAAGGTGAACTTTGCTCAACTCATTCATGCCAACCATTTGGCGATGAGATGATTTGTCATCATTGCTTGATGAAAAAGCCAGTTCGTCATGACAGACCATTAGGCGGTGGCAAACTGAGTTAACCATCTTTCAATCGATTCCATGACGGCCATTTGGCGGTGGACGATTGGCTTTTCTCATTCCTTTACGTTCAGTGATCTTGGGCTTCATTGCGTTCATTGTAAAAATATTTCTTGTCAGACACAGAAGTTGCGTCCTCAGCATAAGAAAGCCGAGGCTCGATTATGCAAACAAGGTAATTTTTTGTTACTCCAATCATGTTAGTTTATCATTAACACGGACTATATAAATATGTGGGTGGGAGACCGAAGACCTTACCGTAGGCTTCACTCAGAATGAGACGAATAAGAGGAAGAGAAAGCGAGGCGATGATGATTTCGAGACACTGAATTTACCGACTCATACAAATCACTATGTAATAGCGTGAAAGAGGTTTTGGGTAATATTAATTATGGAGAATGGTTGGATAAACCCGAAGAATTGCAAGATCTAACAAAACGGATGTT